ACCCCGCCGTCTCTCCCTGTCTCCCCCGCTCTCCCCCCAAGCATGGACGAGCTCCTGTGTCCCCCACCGGCTCCTTTCCCTGCACACATCCAACCCCCGTCCTGTTAGCCAAAGGGCCTTTGCTGAGTTCCAGACAGCGGGACGGGGCGGGTGATGTGTGCCCCAAGGCCTGGCGTGTGAAGCCCCCCCGTCCTCCACACTTTCTCCATCCCAGGCGGAACGTCCAGGACGGCCGTCCGTGGGACATAATGGAGCCGCCCCCACGCGGCGCCTGGTCCTGGGTGGCCGCATGGGCTGCCCGCCCTGCCCCGGGCTCCAAGCTGTGGCCTGGGCAGGACAGGTGAGCAGGCGTGAGGCTGGTTTCCAAAACCCTGGTGGCTCTGGGGTGCGGGGCCTGGCGGGAGTGGGGGTCGGGGTGGACGGCCCAGCGTGGAGAGAACCTGCGCTTGGAGGAGCCGTCAGGAAGGTGCGGCAGGACAAGAAGTGTGGGCAGCTGGCGGTCACGCCCCGGTGCCCAGGGCCAGCAGGCAGCCCCGGGAGGAGGGCGGCCCCAGGCTGTGGTGGCTGGGGAGGAGCCCGCCAGAGGGCCGGGCCACCGCTGCCGCGACGGCTGCCCTGTGCCCAGCGGAGCAGAGCCCGGGCCCAGCAGGGCACACCCGGGGGAGCGTCTTCCCCACCGGGTCGCTGAGCAGAGCGTCCGGGAGACCTGGGCCGTGACACAAACCGGGAGCCCCTAGCTCTGCCATGAGACAGAGACAGCACTCGAGCGGCCGGCCGGCAAGGGGGGCCCCCACGCACCTCTCTGCGGGGAGGGCGTGCGGCAAAATGGATGGACTCAGAGTCCAGGAAGCTGCTCCGTAAAAGTGATGGGGAGACACGGTCGCGCCGGCACCCTGCATGCGGGAGGCAAAGCCGCGGGGCCCATAATTGTTTCCCATTCTCCGTGCCTTCCGCAGGAAGTGCTGGCTTTTTAATAGCAGGGGCACGCCAGGAAAGTGTCACTCTGATCACTGTGGTGGCAGGAACAAATGGGCGGGAGAGTAGGCAGCTTCCCTCTGAGTAAACGCTCCGAGGCTCTGCCCGGGGAAGGTGCTCCCCTGTGTGGGGAAGGTGCTCCCTCTGCGCGGGGAAGGTGCTCCCACCGGGTGCAGCTGGGGCTCCCCGCCATGGGCAGAGGCTTAGTCCCAGCGCCCAGGCCCACAGTCAGGCATCTGTCAGCAGATTCTCGGCGCCGGAGTCCGGGCTGCAGGGAGCAGCGTTTCCAAATCTCACCCTCTTCCCAGTGAATAGGCTGTTCCTTGGCACCGTCCTGACAGGCGATTATTTTGGAATTTGGGGAGGACCAGGTTTTACCCGCAGGGCAGAAGACGCTGCCACTTTGGAATTCCTCCTTCCAGGAACCAGCAAGGACGCACCAGGGAGTCAGAGGGGCAGGGGCTGGGACCGGGCGGGGTCCCTCTGCTCCCCGAGGTTCCTTCCCCGAGCGCCCTCCCCCTGAGTGGCGCCAGGAGGCCACACCTGCTTCTCCACTGTGCACTTGCCCTTTCTGTTTGGGTGGCAATTTACCAAATTGATTGAGATAATTAGCAGTTAAGACACAGCGTGGGTGTGACTGGAGCGTGTGACTCCACTCGGTGACACCTCCACAGCTCCAGGTGAAGAAGCAGCCTCAGGGCTCAGCGCAACAGGCAGGGTTCCCCGCCCCAGCTCAAACCAGCTGTGTGAGCTTGGGTAGGTCACCTGCCCTGTCTGTGCCTCCGTTATTATTTTCATCTGCAATGAGGACAGGTTAATCCCCCACCAGCCCTGACAGAGGATTGCCGGGTTCCTTTTCATTCAGCTGCCACCCCTGGTCCAGCTTCGTTGGTTAGGAGTATAACAGAAAACCTCATTAACTGAGGCATAAGCAGGCGGAGATTTGTGTGTCTCGTGAAGCACAGAGCTGATGGGGCACCTCTATGGCACCCATGGGAACTAGGGCTCTTTCTGACTTTCCCTCTGTCATCCTCACTATGCGGGCTTTGACATACGTGGCTATCACCTCATGGTCACAGGATGGCTGCCACGCCTCCAGACCTCACACCCACATTCCTAACAGAATGGAAAGGGGGCAAAAGGCTCTGCCGGCTGTGTCTGTTCTTTTTGCAAAATCAGGATAAGCCACAGCTTTCTCGAAAGCCCCATTCTGAGACTTCTGCATATTCCTCATTGGCCAGAGCTACACCCCACAGCCACCTCTAGTTGCGGGAGGCTGGAAGGCCAAGCGTTTGTGGATGAGCGTGAGTGAGTCGGAATGTCCGGCTCCATCCTCTTTCACAGCAATGACGGGTTCCCCGCCGTAGCCGCCAACGCAGCGAGGCCTGAAAGCCCAAATCCTGAAGATGCTCTTCGAGGCCCTGCGTCTCCAGCCTGTGCCTGCTGCCTGCACCCTGCCACCGCCCACGGCCCCAGGTGGACACCCTCCGGTCCCTCGCCTGATCTGCCCTGGGGCTGCCCGGAAGGGGAGGGCCTGGGACGTTGCCCCGAGACCCGAGAGCCGGACCGTGTGCGTTGGCTCCCGCGGGAGGGTTTCACTCTGCACCCTGGTCCTCAGACTCTGGGCGTTGGTCCCCTCCGGCCCTCAGAGCGGAGAAGCCATTGCCAATGTTTATATGAAATTTACGGAGCGGTCACTCTCTTTCCCGTAAAGCCGCGGCCGCAGAGCCTCTCAGTTCTCCCTGTCGCGTGAGGGTGTTTCCAGGGCAACACGCGGGCACAGTTCTGCCGTCAGATCACGTATCGGTCCCCGGTATCAAAGTATATGAGAAACTTCAAGGTCATGAACTGCAACTCGGCAGAGAACCGCCCGGGCACGGGGACCCTGAACTCAGTGCGCTAGGAATTGGGGGTCGGGGGGTCCTTCCCGTCGTTCAGGAGTCGGAACAGGTGCTCGCCCAGCGAGGGGACGGACCCAAGGCGGCTTCCGGGACCAGCCTCTTCCCCATCCCTGGGGCTGGTGCCGCTCTCATTCGGTGGCCCTCTGCAGACCCCAAGGCAGGCACCGCCCACACCCAGGGCAGAGCCAGCAGGGCAGGGTCGGCCTCCCCCCGGAGCGAACACAGAAGCGTGTTTCGCTCAGGACGCAAAGTCACCTCCCGCCGGGTCCATGGAACCCCAGGCTTGCGAGCCCCGGCTCAGCCTCAGGAGCTGCGTCGCCGGGATCGCGGAGGGTCGGGTGCGCAGGGAGGACGGTCACATGGCTGCGCGGGGAGGGGCGGCTGCGTTGGCTGCGTGCCGCGGAAAGACGCCTTGGCGGGCCAGGACCACGGGGACCGAGTGACCCCCACACCCGGGGAGCCTGGCTTGCTCGGAACGTGATTTGTTCCAGCCGTGGGTGGCGTCGCGGGGGAAGCCGTCGGTTGTCCGCGGTGAGACGGCCCAGCAATGCCCCTTCTGCTGCGACTTGGCTTTCTGAAGGCAGAGAGTGGGTGCGGGGGGGGGAGCCCCCCATTCCCCAAAACAGGGGACTTGGCCTCTGCAGTGGGTCTCCCCAGAACCTGCGAACGTGGCCTCGGGAACGGGGTCTCGGCAGGTGTGACGCAGGTGAGGGTGTGAGACGGGAGCGTCAGGGACCGGGGCGGGGGGCCGGAGTCCAGTGACGCGTGTCCTTGTCACAGGTCAGGCAGAGGGAGGTTCGAGACTCGCACACACACAGGCTTTGATCCCGGCTCTGCTCTGTGCAGCCCTGTGCGGCGGCTTGGCCTCTCTGACCCTCGGCATCCTCTTCCGTAAAGCAGCGGGAACGATGCTGGCGGAACCGACCCTTCCCGGGTTGTGGTGGGGGATGCGTGAGATGAGGCCATGTGCCTGGCGCACCCGTGGCTCCCAGAATGTTTAAATTAGGGGCGACAATCTGAGCAAAGGCAGAGCTTGAGCCGAGTTGATCGGACCTGCTCGTCCACCGTGAAGTCAACCCGGCGGGAGGCTCCGGCATGTTCTCCGTGCGGTGGGCGGGATGGGCGAGGGCAGTAGTCAGGGCTCTGCAGAGAAACGGACCAATGGGCTGCGGCAGACACGGACGCAAGGAATTGGCCCTCGCGGTTACGCAGGCCGAGAACCCCAAGATCCGCGGTCGGCAGGCTGAGACCCAGCACAGCCGAGGGTGTCGCTCCAGCGTGGCGGGAGAGGACCACGTCCCGCTCAGGCAGCGGGGCAGGGACGCGGACGCCCCCTGCTCAGCCTCCCCTCCCACTCCGGCCTCCGTGTGCTGGACAAGGCGCCCCCCACAGAGGAATCTGCTTCCTCAGCTACAGATTTAAACGTCAGTCTCCCCCGACCCCAGACACACCCAGGATGATAATATTCAATCGAATATCCCAGCCCCACCCCCGCCCCCAGCAAGTCAAGTCGACACACAGAGTTAACCGTCGCGGCGAGGGCCGCCTGGGCTGCCATGGAACGGAACGGAGCGGGGTCGAGTTAAAGCGTGGTGCCTAGAAGGCCGAGTGGTGTCTAAATGAAGCCACCAGACGTGAGCGTGGGTCGGAGGAGCTCACGGTGCAAAACACGCTTCTACCACGCGTGGGGATCGACAGTGAGGGGCGGGAGTTTCAGGTGCAGAGGAAGCGAGATGGCCGGGCTCCCGTGCAGCCCTGGAGCGTGTTTGCGGGGCAGGCTGGAAGCTGGGTGCTGGGGGAGCGGCCGGGGGGCTCCCCGCTCGGAACAGCTCGGACAGGCGGGGACCACAGAAAGGGGGTGACCAGTGTCGGGTGAGTGGAACGAGAAAACCCACAGTCACGCTACATGCAAGAGAAATCAAACTGGGTCTGAAAAGTCCCAAAGAGGCGGCTGCCGTGTGCCGGGCTCTGGCGGACACACCCCGCCTCCCCTGAAAACCAGCCAGCGGGCGGCGCGGGCGCCCCGGGGTCGCCGGGGTGGGGGTCCCCTCGTCGGGAGGGCGGGGAGCGGGGCCACCCGCTGGCCCTGGGCTGCCCGGCCACGGCCCCGCGCTCTCCCCGCAGGTGTGGCAGTGCGGCGGCAGCATGGAGGTGCTGCCCTGCTCCCGCGTGGCGCACATCGAGCGCACCAAGAAGCCCTACAACAACGACATCGACTACTACGCGAAGCGCAACGCCCTGCGGGCGGCCGAGGTGTGGATGGACGACTTCAAGTCCCACGTGTACATGGCCTGGAACATCCCCATGACCGTGAGCCGGGCGCCGGGCAGGGCTGGGGAGGGCGTGGGCTGCCCGTGGCCTCGGCGTGGGAGTCAGAGCCGGGGCCGGGGCCAGGCCAGCGCGGAGGCCGCCCACAGACCCGGCCCCGTCGGGAGAGGGCTCCCTTCACCCTGGCCCGGCCCTTGTGGTAGAGACGTGTCCTGAGCCCACGGGGAGGAGCCAGCGAGGGCCCCGCCCAGCCCCGGCCTCGCGGCACCATAACGCCGCAGCCACCCTGGGCACCGGCCCCACTCACGCCATCGGCAGGCGCCCGTCAGCAAGGCGCACCCCGCCCCGCACACCCCTCGGCCGAGCCTCAGCTCTGCTCTCCCCGTGCACAGGCCTGTCCTCGTGAGGCCCTGGGGCAGGCGCCGTGGTCCACAGCACTGGTTCTCAAAGTGGGGGCCGCGGGCCGGCACCACCAGCGTCACCGTCACCCAGGAGCGAGTGGGAAGGCAGATGCTGGGCCCCGCCCGGCTCCTGCGCGGTCAGGAGCTTGGGGTGAGCCCGGCCACCTGTGCCCTCCCTTGACCTCTGCACTCATTAGCCTTTGAGAGCCGCCGTCCACAGCCGATCTGTTACCTCGCGTTGGTATCAGGGAACAGAGTCCTCCAGCTGGACTCGGAATTCCAGGGCTCCAGCCTGGGGCGTGGACGTGGACGTGGCTGGTCTGTCTCCAGCCCTGCAGAGGCCAAGCTGACACCGCATGGCCCAAGGCCCCCTCCCATAGGTCTCACCGCAGCGTGGACTCTCTGGGGTGGCCCAAGGCCGGGAGGACAGGGACACTCTCAGGTTCCAGGGCCCCGGAGTCACCCCCCAGGACTGGCGGGGGCCAGACCCCGATGTGAGGGGCACAGACGAGCCAGGCCCGCACCCGGCAGGGCCCTCCCCACCAGGAAGCGCTGGGCGGGCAGGAGGCCCCAGCCAGCACCCCGGGTCCCTGGGGTGGGGCCGTCCTGGGAGGAGGCGGGGGTGGGGGGCCCTGGGAGTCACTCACGGGGCAGAGACCGAAGTCCTGGGTGTGCGGCGCTCACTGACCCCTGCCCGCTCTGGCCCGCAGAACCCGGGCGTGGACTTCGGGGACGTGTCCGAGAGGCTGGCCCTGCGCCAGAGGCTGAAGTGTCGCAGCTTCAAGTGGTACCTGGAGAACGTGTACCCGGAGATGCGGGTCTACAACGACACGCTCACGTACGGAGAGGTAGCGCCTCCGCCGGGGGGCCCGGTCAGGCGGGCTCTTCTCCCCGCGCCGACTCCCCGCGCCCTCGCCCGTGCGCGGTGTAGTTCTCGGACATCCGGGTCCCCGGGGCGCGGGCACAATCGCAGGTACCGGGGCACACGCCAGTGTATGAGCCCACGTGAACACACGCGTGTACGCTTGCATACAAAAATACACGCAAGTAGATACAGACACGTGTGTGCACAGACACGCCCACACCCAGACAGCTCCCCGTGGCCGTGCCTCGGCCGGGGACCCCTCGGTGACCCCGGGGTTCTCCTGTCGCCTCGGCTGCAGGTGAGAAACAGCAAAGCCAGCGGCTACTGCCTGGACCAGGGAGCGGAGGACGACGACCAGGCCATCCTGTACCCCTGCCACGGCATGTCCTCCCAGGTGAGAGCAGCGCCTGCCGCCTGGCGACACTCCCGCGGGAGCAAGGGGTGGGGGACCCACCCCGGACCCAAGGCAGGCGGGAGGTGGCACAGAGGACGGGCGCTCGAAGGCCCGTGGAGCGTCCTGGTGCCACCGCGGCCGCGCTCGGGGGCCTCCCTGCCCCGCAGGGCGGCGTGACGCGGGGGTGGAGAGCGGGGCCTTGGTGCCAGGGGGCCTTGGGCAGGTCACTTCATACCCCCGCCTCAGTTTACCGTCAGTCCGGTGGGATGGGATGGGATGGTACAGACTCACTTCTCAGGCCGCCGTGTGGATTAAAGCGGAGAACGTGGGCGAAGCGCTCGCCACCGTCTGGACGTGACGCGGGAACCGTTATGCCGTCACGGTGTTGTCCCATTAACTGAGCAGCCGCCAAGCGACTGTCGGTCCTGGCTCCACCTCAGAACCTCCAGGAGAGCTGGGCCAGACCCAGGCCCGCGGCCCCGTAGCGCTCAGGGGGTCCCGGGGCGCCGACCCCACGAGGAGACGGCTGTTTCTGGACACGGGTGAATTCCCGTCTGCGAGTAACGACGGTGCTTCTCTTTAACGTGTGGATGTTACTTCAATTAAACCCGACTCCGGCCTTCCCCGGGGTGAACTGGGGCCCTCCCTGAAGCTGAGCCATCGTCACGAACGTCCCTCCGGGCGGAAATCCAGCGTCCAGGCGGAGAAGGTGTCCGCCCGGCGTGCGCTAATTGCGGGCCGTGGGGTCGCCCTTCCCTCCCCCGCGTTGGTGGCCTTATCTGGACTGACGCTCCGGCAGCTTCTCAGCACAGCGGCCTTTGACTGAGAGCGAAACGGAATCACCGTGGAGATTGGAACGGCTTCCGTGAAGAAATCTCATCTGCTGGGCCCGTCACGGCGGGTGACTCCGGCCGCACCGTCTTCTCGTGACCAGGGCGAGAGGGCCTGTGGGGGGGCCTGGAGGTGTCTGTGGGGGCCTCCGAGCTCCGGGACAGGGAGCAGGACACGGTGGCCAGGGCACACCAGGGCTGTGTCCCCACAGCAAATTCTCCCGCCGTCCGGGGTGTCTGCTGACACAAGGTGGGGCTGGGCTGGGCTTGGGGGGCCCGAGTGGCTGGGCTTCCTCACGGCGTGGCGGCCACGTCCCAGGAGAGCCAAAACGCTGTGGCCATTCTTGACCCAGCCTCAGAAGCAAAACTTGGCGCGTCCACACGCGCCCCGACACACAGGAAGAGACGGAAGCTCGGCCCCTTGATGCTGTGTGTCGGGGTCACGTTGCTACGTGGGTTCGTGGGGCGCAGAAACAGTGGCGGGTTGTTCCCAGGGAGATCGTATCGGCAGAAACAGTCTTCCGAACGCGCTCAGGCCTCCTGTGCGTGCGCATGGGGCAAAGAGACGCGGTTCGAGGAACGCGCTTCACGTACCAGCAGACCGAGGTGTTTGCTGAGCGCTTGCGGTGGCCTTGAGCACTTTGCACCTGGTGTCTCGTGTAATCCCTACCGTGGCCCCGGGCAGGTGCTGTCCCAGTGCCTGCTTCGGACGAGGGAACGAGGCGCAGGGAGTTACGTGACGTGCCCAGGGCCCCACGGCTGGGAAGTGGGTGCAGGGAGCCATGTCACGTGGTGCCTTGTCGTGCAAAACCGGCACAAACCAGGACCCGTGGACGTGACCCTGGGGCCGCCTCGTCTGGAAATAGTTTTCTTCGTGGTTCGAGGCCCACTGAGGCTGACCTGGGGCCTGTGTGACGTTCTCCTCCCGCGTCCACACCTGAGGCTGCGGCGCCCCTGGCCGTGCCACCGCGCAGGCTGTGAGCAGGGTTCTGGGAAGCAAGGGTCCCAGGCGGGTTCTGCTTCAGGGACTTGTCGGACGGCACAGGGTACCCGTCCCCCCAGGCCAGGACAGCCTGGAGCTCAGCTCTGAGCTCTGCCCCCCACGGGAGACAGACACGCTCAGCCGCCCTCCTCCTTCCCATCTCAGGTGCCCATGGCGGGCTGGGGGCAGGGAGGGAGGCGCGGCCAGCGCAGGGCCTGCCGTCCTTGGGCCACGGCTCCGGGAGCCCCATGTGCCCAGGGGCAGCACCCTCCCTGCTCTGCTCTCCAGATGCCCACATGGGCTTAGCTCCGGGGGCCCAATGGGGAGCACCTCCCTGGGAAGGAATTATTAATTAATACATCTCCAGCTCTCAGGCTGCAGCCCTGGGCAGAGCTCCTTCCTGTTCCAGAACTTTCTATAGCCAGCAGGGCCGGGGGCTTGGTGCTGTTCCTGAGCCTTGACCTCCGGCCTGGGCCTCGGGAGATGGGGGTGGAGTCCACCAGGGCACGAGCTGGCAGCTCTCGGCACACGCGGGTGTCCAGCAGCCGGCCCACCCTGAGGGTCTCGTACGGCTGGGGCTCCTCCAGCCTCCCGGCGGGGCCGGCCCCCCAAACCCCCCATAGCTCCACCTTCCAGAAGCTGAGTGGTGACGGGCCGGGCGGCGCCCCCTCCTCCATTCTGGGCCTCCCAGCCCAGCCCCTAGGCCTGGCCCTGCCCGGCCATCCTCTCCTGTCCCCTACGGCGTCCCCAGGGTGGGAGGTGCCAACGCAGCCACTCATGAGGCCCTGTTTATGGCGGGTGCAAGGCGGCCGCCTGGCCTGTCTATGCCCCCTGGTGCTCGCCAGGGCAGCGGGAGACGCGGGCAGTGGACCAGCCTGGGCGTCGCCCTCACGGCTCTCCCGCCCTGTCCCCAGCTGGTGCGGTACAGCGCCCACGGCCTCCTGCAGCTGGGCCCCCTGGGCTCCACGGCCTTCCTGCCCGACTCCAAGTGTCTGGTGGATGACGGCAGGGGCCGCACGCCCACCCTGAAGAAGTGCGAGGACGTGGCCCGGCCCACGCAGCGGCTGTGGGACTTCACCCAGGTCAGCGGGCGGCCGAGACCCCCAGGCAGCTCCGCCCGGGGCCAGCCTGACAGCTGGGAGTCAGGTGGGGTGGGGGGGCCAGGACAGAGGGCAGGGCCCCAGGTCAGCGGCTCCTCCATGAGCCCCCGTGCTCAGCTCAGAGAGGGAAGGTGACTTGCCCAGGGTCACACAGCTAAAGAGGGGCGGAGCCAGTCGGCCTGGTCACCCCTTCCAGCCTCCACTGCCCCTGACTCCGGCCTCTTCCAGCCTCCACTGCCCAGGCTCCCGGACCCCGGGGGAGAGGGAGGAGGACAAAGGCGGTGGGTGGGACACTCCTTTGACCTCGGCTGCCGGGGAAATGGGAAAGTCAGGAGATCCTCGGAGCTTGGCTGAAATCAGCCCCGACTGCCCCGGCCCCCCATACACCCGCCCAGTCCCCCAGAGCCCGGCTCGCTGAGCCCCACCTGACCCATGTCCACCTGGGCTGCGCCTCCAGGCTTCCCGCCCCTCAGTCCCAACACGCCCTCGGCGGAAGTGCTGGTTCCTCCTCGGAAGGAACACGGTTAGGGCGTTAGGGTGTGGACAGCCTCTGGGGACACACAGCCCGACCCATACCGCTCTGGCCTCGCAGCCGGATGGGTTTTCCGGAAACCTTCTGCCCGCGGGACCTCTCTACGCAAGGGCCCTTGGCGGTCTGCTGCCCCATGAACGATCAAGTCCCACCCTGACCCGGCCCCCCACCAGCCCCCGACCTGGGTGTCTTCCAGGAGCTGCCCCCCCAAGCCCCTCCTTCCCTCCTGGGGCCCCACACAGGCCTCGATCACCCCCTCTGTGGGCAGAGCTCGTGACAGACAGGGCTGCACCTGCCCTCGGCAGTGGGGTTCGGGGCTTGCGGGTACGGGAGAGGCCGCAGGGAGGACCTGTCGCTGCTGTCTGCCGGGACAGCGAGGGCCGAACGTGCCCAAGTGGCCGGGCTGGGCAGGGCCAGTGGGAGAACCTGCTGATCTGCCTCCTGGGGTCCCCAGGCCTGGGCCAGCGCCAAGTGGCTGCAGAGGGGACCGAGGGACCTGAGGGAGGTGCCGTGGGGAAAAGGCCTGTCTGGGCCCCCAGAGTTTGTCTTCCTGGCCCCTGTTGGGACCCCAGCGGGCAGGGCAGGCTGGAGGGGTGGACACAGGACAGGGACGGGACCGCGGGGACAGGGGACCTGATGGACCCTGGGCCTTTGGGGCTGGGGCCTGGGATCACCCCTCACTCTCAGGGATGCCTCTGCAGGAAGGGGACCCCCGGGCTCCCAAGCTGACTCAGTTTCCCTTACCCCACAGAGCGGGCCCATTGTGAGCCGAGACACGGGCCGGTGCCTCGAGGTGGAGATGTCCAAGGACGCCAACTTCGGGCTGCGGCTGGTGGTGCAGAGGTGCTCGGGGCAGAAGTGGATGATCAGAAACTGGATCAAGCATGGGCGGCACTGACCGCCCCGGCCCCGGCCCCCACGCGAGGCAGACCCTCGCGGACCGAGCCCGCCGGGCTGGGGGCTGGGCTGGCACCCACTGGCTCCTCCGCCCCGGACCCCCCAGCAGCCCCGAGCCACGCCTGCACATCTCGAGGTTCTGTGGCCCGGACAGCAGAGTCTGGCGGCTGGGGCTCCCGCCACCCTCCTGGACAGGCGGCTCTGCTGAGGGAGGGCGTCTGAGGACAGCGGGCGCCGACTCCGAAACACGTGCCTTTTCTATGGTATCTCCTGTCCAGGCTTCCGGGCAGCCACGTCTTCTGCATGTGCTACAGCCCCTGTATACACCCTGCGGGGCCCACCCGCCAGCGCCAGGCTGAGCACTGGCTTCTCCCATCACAGAGCTCCCGTCCTCCCAGCGGAGCCGCCGCGGTTTCCCCAGGACCCGGCCGCCCTGCCGGCCGCTCAGCCTCTCTGATCCTAACCCAAGTCAGAAGTCCACACGCGGCCGCAGGGGCTGGTGAGAGGGTGGCGAGACCTGCCCAGCCTCGGCGTCCCAAAGACGAAGCCCACGGCGTGTTTAGGGGACTCGCCGCATCAACAGACACCAAATAAAGAGCAGATTCGACAGCAGAGACGCTGTGTCTGTCTTCCCGGGCGCGGAGCCAGCGGATGTGGGGCTGGGCCCTGTCCTGCTGCCCGGCCCAGGGGTCCAGGCGCCTTTCCTCCTGTTGCTCCGCCGTCCTCAAGGCAGGAGTCAGCAAACCACGCCCCTGGCCCCTCCTGTTTCTATAAATAAAGTTTTATTGGCACACGGCCACGCCCACTTGCTTGCGCATTGGCTGCTGCTTTGGGGCCGTGGGCAGAGCACAGAGATGCCGTGTGGCTCCCAGAGCTGCAGACGTTCACCTCTGGCCTCTCAGGAAATCCTGTGCCGACGCCCTCCCTGGGGTGGGTCCTGGCTCCCGTGGTCCGGGAGGGTGGCCTCGCCGTGTCCCGGCCACCAGGCTGGGGGGCAGCGGCCGGGGTGCTGTCCGCATCACTCCCGCTCTCGCCCGTCACGCCGCTGAGCTGCAAAGGTGTCTGGGAACCGTGGCCTCCCATTGGGCAGCTGTGCGTCCGGCTAAAATCCAGGGTTTCTACATTAAAAGGTAGGAGAGTAGAAGGGATATCGGTCAAAATTGGCCCCCTGTGCCTCTGTGCGGGATGCGGTCCTTCAGAAATTCACTGGCACCGCTGTCCTCCGCCCACGACAGAGCGGCCCCTCCTTGCTCGGTTCTCAGTCCCCAACGCTTAAGGCCGCCGACCACGCGCCACAGCGCCGCCCTGCGCGTCCCGAGAGGCTGCAGTGCTGGTCCTGGTGGCCGAGGGTGTCCTGACTCAGCCGGGGTTGGGGGCTGCTGGCCTCGGCCCCACACCGAGACCTGCCAAACTCCACGGCTGGGCCGTGCTCTGTGACTGCGGCAGGAGCCAACACGGTCATGGGGAGTGCGGCCGACAGGAGCCACTTCCTGTCCCTTTGCGCCTGTCAGGGCAGCGCCCAGCGGTCCGGGCACCAGCCGCTCACCCCTGCCTCCTGCCTCCTGCTGGAAGGTGGGCGGCTTCTGCTGTCCAGACAGCGTGGGACCCTGGAGCCGGCTCAGCGTCCTGGGCAGAAGAGACGCCAAGACCCCAAACCAAACCAACCAGCCCTTTCCACGCCAGGCGGTCGGCCGACCCTCCTTACTGGTGCGCTGGGGCAGAGACTGCGGGCCCCGGGGTGACGTCCAAGTCCCCCATCCTCAGGGAGTGACCCGGAGAGCAAACCACAGGACGTCCCGACAGCAGGGCCTGCAGCCCTCCCTGACCCCCTGCCGCGGCCACAGCCACAGGCCTCACCCCAGCCGCGGCGCCTTCTGGGAGAGGAAACGCCATTTCCTAGTCGTGCCGGGGCTCCTGGGTCCGGGAGAGAAGTTTTCCCGAGAGCGGCGAGACCAGCTGTCCCGTGCTCGGCCGGCCGGGCAGAATCCAAACCCACCGCAAGCCCCCTCCCCACCGCTCCCCACGGGGCACCCTGTCCTCACCGTCTGTGCTGCAGGGAGTCTGAAGGGTCCCGGTTTCCCCTTCTCAGCAGAGAATCCCACCAGCCCCAAACCCAGTCTCAAAAGAGCCCTGTCTAGTCCAGGACGCGCCAAAAATTTAGGAGGATGATGGGAACTAAACGCAGCCGTGAGCGAGGCCCCAAGGCAGTCTCGGGCCGCGGACCAGCCCCGGGGGTGCGCGAGCATCCGGAGCTTGCCCAGGCGAGGTTGGGGTGGGAGGCACCCGTCAGCACGCGGAGTGCGCTGCCGGAGTTTACGACAGAAAATGTCACAGGCTCGAACCCACGAAACGCGCCTGTGTCACGATTCGTCAGGTCAAAGTCGGCTGGTCTGTGGCCGACACGGGATCTCACAGAAAACCCGACACCTAGAAAATCGCTTCTCAAAGCCGGAGGTGCCTCCCGTCCTCTGGGGGCGGTGGTGGGCTCCCCGGCTCTGAAAGCCCCTCTGCCTCACCGCCCGGCCCAGCGCGAGGACTCGGGGGTGGGAGGGGCTCACTGGCCGCGGCGCGGAGGCCGCGGGGCTGAGGCAGAGGGGCCGTCACACTCTCCCGACCCGAAGCTCTTCGTCCGCAACGGCCGACAGGTAACAAAACCTCACGTCCTCAACTGTGCTCGTGGAGCTTTCCTGGTTTCGCAGTTACTCCTGTCAGTCTTCACCTCCTCATAAGAGGGTTTATACCTCTCGAGACCTGCCCTTTCCAGATAAACTGTCCGAGAAGCCTAGGGGTGATTCAGCCCAAAGAGCTCCCCAGACATCGGAGAAGGGAAGCGAGAGAGTGATACCCCCGCTGCTGGTGCAGCTCGCGGCCGCTGAAAACCGCCCGGTACCGTTCCGTGGTCAGCGCTGGGCTGTGGCCGGCAGCATGTCCCTGCTGGTCTGGACCCCACGTGACCACGGGGGCGCCCCACGCTGCGGACCAGCCGTGCATGTTGCTTGAATTCTTGGTGACGTGCTGATACAGTTTGCTATGTGTCCCCACAAGCCTCATGTTAAAATTTGGCCCCCAGGGGTGGCCCTGACGAGAGCTGTGGGTCGTGGGCTGGGCCCTCGCGAATGGCCGGGCGCCCTCCTCGCAGCAGTGGGTGAGCTCCTGCCCTGCGCGTCCCCAGAGACCTGGCTGTTAAGGAGAGGCCGCCCCACCCCCTCCTCTCACCACGGGACCTGCAGACACAGGCTCCCCTCACGCCACCATGAATGACAACAGCCCCAGAACAGAGTCAGCCACTTGCGAGGGGCGGGGAGGGACAACAGCCTTAGTCCCCACACGCCACGCCGGCCCGCGCAGAGGACCCAGCATCTGGGTGCTCCTGTCCCAGCCTGCCACGCCCCGTGGCGTCTGCCACATGACTTGCTGCCAGTGTGTAAGAGTGTGCGCCGTGTGTGTGTGCAGGGCATCCGTGTGCCGTGTGTGTGTGTGCAGGGCATCCGTGTGCCGTGTGAGCGTGTGCAGAGCATCTGTGTGCCGTGTGTGTGAGCGTGTGCAGGGTGTCCGTGTGCTGAGCGTGCTGCGTGGAACGATAGGATAGTCGTCCTTTGCGTCTGGCTCAGTCACCGAGCACTGTGTCCCCAGGCTGACCCGTGTAGCCTGTGTCAGAACTTCCTTCCTTTCGAGGGCTGAACACTTGTCCGTCGTACGGATGCGCAGGTTGTTTCATTCCTGGCCGGTCACGAGGCCGCCTCCACCCCTCGCTGTTGCGAATAAATGCCGCCATGAGCAAGGCAGCTGCTGGGTGGGGTTTAAGTTCCAGGAAAACGAAGTCCCGTCTTCTGGACACCTGCGTTTGAGGACAGAAATCCGTGCTCCGTGGGAGCAGCACAGGTGGTGGTGGCCAGGACAGCCGTGTGTGGACACTGGCCGCGTGCGGGGCGCCGTGTTCTTCACTCTGAATCCTCCCGACCGGCCTTCGCAGACGGGCGCTGAGTGACTCGCCCGAGGTCACGCTGCCAGCAGCACCAGGCGAGGTTCCCCCAGGTCAGGGCTCAGCCTGTCCGTCCAGGGCCGCCAAGACGTGTCTCGATCAATTTTGGACGTGTGGTTTCCTGCTGAAAATGGGCGTAGGTTGGGGAAGACGGGAACCCCTGGCTGAAGGTGATGTTTTTCTGGAAGCCACCCCCGTGCAAGGACATGAGAGGCAGCAGCGTGTGTTCTCCGCGGGGCTGGTCCACGCTCTGTCCCCAACAGGCCTCCCAGCTGTGGGAGGTTAAAAGCTCCCGAGGGCGAGAGAAATTAACTCCAGCAAGCACTCGTGAGAAGGCTGCAGGGGTAAGCTCCGTCCCTGAGAACACCTGCTCTGGGGCGGTGGCAGAGGGCCGGGCGCGGATCCCTCCCCCGAGGGCCGGTGGGAGGTTCCCAGGCCCCTCCGTGGCCCCCAAGTCCCATTGCTGCAGGTCGGGCAGTTACGGAGCCTGGGGGTGTCTGCACACGCTCGGCCGGGGGTCAGGAGGCTTCCTGTGGCTCCGTGGCAGGGGCAGCAGACACAGCACCGACCTACCGTCCCGGCCCTGCCCCAACCCTCCACCGCGGCGTCACTGCAGCTGGGTGGGTTTAGGAGGGTTTAGGAGGCGGCGCAGGCTCGCAGGAACGGGCATGTCAGGGAGCCTGCCGTGGGAGCAGGAGGCGCAAACCGGCCCTGACCGGACTGTCGCAGGAGCCTGACGTGGGGACGTGGGGACGACGGCCTGTGCCTGAGCAGACGCCTCGCGCTGTCCGTGCACCTAGTGCCCCTGGGTCGGGTGACGGGGGCTTGTCCAAGCCACTCCTTGCAGTGTCCCCTGGAGTGAATGTCCTCGGTTTCCCCGACTCCACACCCTGCCTGTTGCGCTGCGCCCCTCCTTGCGCTGAAGGCCGCTTCTCGCCACCGCTGGGGGCCCCAAAGGAGCCGGGCAGGTGGGGCAGGTGGCCGGCCTGGCGCTGCGCCCTGGGGGCGGCTGGTCCTTCTG